AACTCATCACAGAAACGATTAAGGTGTTTGTCACCCGATGCTCAGACTGAAGCCGGGCGTAACACATATAAAAAAAAAAAACATGTTTTGATTGACTGATTGTTTAGCAAATCACAAAGCAGGATGAGGTCCGGTGGGCGGGGTCTAATCCAATATAACAGAGATGCAATTAATCATAGATGAGCTTGTAGGGCGTTTCATATTTGTTTGAAATGACATGGCAAATATTTGGGGTCTGAAGCACAGAATGTTCCAGGGCGATGAGTTATTTGGGACAGCTCCCATCATTATGACTGGTTTTCTCTCATTTATTTGGCGGGAACTGTGAAGCCATGGCAAGACTTGAGCCAGGCCTGGGGTGTCATTTATGCAAAATGTGGCACAAATTTGTCATCCAAACTTCAGCTGGGTTATTTAAAACCATCTGCACAAAGGATGTGGGCATCATCACAAAACTGAACAAATTTCAGGAGAAATTCTGGATGATGCCGATGCATCTTTTACTCAAAATTCCAACATAAGTTTGTAATAACCCAAGCTAAAAAAAACATTTTGATATATAAACTCTAAAAGGATAGTTAAAACTGTTGCCACTGTTTCATTAGATCACTATGGTATGCCATAGTATAAGCACAAATGCATAAGTAAGTACCATATCGCAAATCTGAGAAAAAGGCCTGAAACAAATGATCGCTGTGCAAAAACAAAATCAGATATACATACAAAAATGTATTTTTTTTTTAATGTAGGACATATGTAAAGTTAAAAAAAGTTCATTTACTTTTTACTTTGAGGAAGCTATTTGAGATAAAATATAATTTTAGGTTATGGAAGCTTGGTTGTGCACTCTCTCTACTTAAGGGGGATTTGAGAGAAAACCACAAGTCCTTTAGCAATGACATGCACATTAAGTAAAAAACGATATGTTTAATATATAGTTTACATATATATTCAAGTATATTTTTACACAACATTAATAGGTTTTATTCAAATTGTAAGATTGTATGACATCACCAGTTGCACATTTTAGTGGAAAAATCTGTAAAAGTCCTGAAATAAAACCTGTAATTATGGGAAAAAAGACAGAAAAATATTAAAATATCAGTCAGAACTTATAAAATTCTACTTTTGTGAGCTGTTTAAAATTTGAATGATGTTTCTACAAAGGGTATTGTGTAAGGGTGCTTCAATGCTTCTGCACATGCACCCCTAATTATAGTGTTAAGACAGAATAATGAGAACGTGCCAGTGTTCCTTCATTACTCCTGCATGCTGAGTGATTTCCCTGCATTTTAACTGTGTGGAGCATTCACAGGCAGTGAGGATGCTGTCACGTTTGTCTCCTGCAGGCAGCCTCAGAGGTGGTTCAACACGGCGGACATCACAGTTTCTCACCAAAGCAACCTGCTGAAGCAGCTCAACCAGCAGCGCCACCAGGAGCTCTTCTGTGACTGCAGTGTTCTGGTGGAGGGCCAGCTCTTCAGGGCACACCGAAATGTTTTGTTCGCCAGCAGCGGATACTTCCGCATGTTGTTGACCCAAGGGCCCGATGGGCTGCCCGACACTGTCAACGCCACCTTCGACGTCTTCACCCCGGAGACATTCACCGTCATCCTGGATTTTATCTACTCTGGCCAGCTGGACCTCTCTAGTCACAATGTGATTGAAATCATGTCTGCAGCCAGCTACCTGCAGATGAACAGCGTCATCAACTACTGTAAGAACTTCATCAAGTCCTCTTTGGACATCAGTGTGAAAGACGAGGACAGCGACCGCTGCCTCAGCTTGTCTGAGACGTGTTCATTCGCCAGTGGTGCAGGAGACGAGTCCACAGAGCACCAGCAGCAAGGCCCCCACTCTGTCAGCCCACCACCTGCGCTCTGGACCCGCGACAACTCCAGATCCCAGTCTGGTTTCTTGGGGAAAGACGGAGAGCAGGAAGTTTCTGCCTCTGCTATTAAGACTGACCCCAGTAGCCCTGCCAACGAGTTCAATGCAGAAATGGATGATCGGCAGGACCCCCAGGACCCTCTGTACACATTACCTGGATCAGAGCGCCGGCGTGGAAGAGCAGGAGCGAACAAAAGGAGGGCGTCCAACAGCACTCGCTCCAGCCAGCCCGAAGACCTGGACATTCAGGAGGCCAGAACTCAAAAGGCTGAAAAGGCAGAGGAGCTTTATGCCACGCTACCACCAATTGTTGGTGTCATTAGCCACTTTAACAAAGGTGGGTTTGGCCTTTTGGAGAGATTAAAAATAAATACCAGTTCACAGCAAACAGACTTGGACCAAATATCTCAACTCTTTTTCTTTCTTATTGCAGATTCCAACCCAATTATGCGTTTCAAATGCCCCTTTTGTACACACACGGTGAAGAGGAAGGCCGACCTGAAGCGTCACCTGCGCTGTCACACCGGGGAGAGGCCATATCCATGTCAAGCCTGCAATAAGCGCTTTACTCGCCTAGAGCATCTACGCAGCCATTTTGAGACAGTAGGTCCTTTCACACTCAGGAGGGGGTAATAAATCAAGCTATTTTTTATAGCACCAGACAATAAGAGTTGTTGTTTTTTTTGGCAATTTACAGAAAATGCAATTAAGCCTAATCTAAATGTGCTTAAATTTAAGTTTAGTTTAATTCACCCAAATTTATTCTATCATCAAGAATAACTGAATGGTTAAACAATGTGTTCCAAAGGTGTTCAGGCCTAAAGACGACAACTTCCGACTTGATATTGGAATAAACCAGAACAGAATTAAACTAGTTTACAAAGGAACAATCAAACTTCTTAGTCTGTTTGCATATCTGCAGATCCATCAAGCCAGGAAGCTGGTGTGCAGGAAGTGCAAATGTCAGGTGACCGAGGAGACTGGGCACGTGGTTTGTGAGGGCACGCGCCGCTACCGCATGTGCACCGCCTGCATTCAGGAAGTAGGCTGTGATGACATCCCCATGGACAGTCTGCAGGCGCCCAGTGATGAGCCAGCCCTGTTACTAGGCGTGGACGGTGAGGAGGAGGGGGAAACCAAGAGGAACTGGATGGCGAATGATGACGACGACCTGGCTGAAGACTCGGGGGCAGACCTCATCATCCAGCAGGTGGACGACAGCGATGATGAGTTGCAGTGAAAATAGACCAAAGTGTGTGCAGATACAAAGCCATGCAGGAGAATTTAGAATTTATGCATAAACTTTGGAGTCTAGTGATGTAAATACACACCTCTGTGTTGTACTAGGAATCAATTAGTTAAATGCAATTTTTATTTTATTTCAGTAAGGCTTTGGTAAAAAATTAAAGCTTTTTCTTTGTCTTGCTGAACATATGCAGTATCCAAAGCAATGCATAATCAGTGCTTACTTTGGTTCAGCTGGAGTTACATGAAGTTTTTGCTAAGTGTTTTCTATTTGGTATGCATGAAAAAATGATATTTCTTTGCAGTTTTTGGGGAGTTATTGTTTTCAATTAAGACAAATAGTGACCCAGACGGAATTGTTGCTTTAAAGTTCACTAAAATTACAGAATGTCCAGGGCATGTATGTTTTTTTTCAGTGTTTCATTGCCTTTATATTGTTGCTTGATTATGATATGCACCATGACTGAAACAATTATTTATTTGTCTTTTTTAATTTTGACACATTAAACATATTTTTGTACAGTTGTATCCGAGTCATAATTTTAAGCTGGAGGCTATTCAGTTTAAGATTTATTTATATAATTGATTTTTAAACACTGAGCTCTTATGTACAGTAGGTTTTTACTTGTAGTTTTTACTTGTTTTTTTATATATATAAAAATGTCTCTTATGAGAAATGCAGTAATTTAAATTTGTTTTAGTTTTATTTAGGCTGGGTGAAAAAAAAATTGAAGCTCAACCATAATTAGCCAAATTAATTTTGATCTGAACAACATTGTGGTAGACCTTTATTAGCTCATTTGTTTTAAACAAAGTCCATGCTCATTAATCCAGGTATACAATTTGTTTTAAAGTTTTCAGTTCTTTTTTAAACTAAGATTAAAAATAATCTTAAAATTCGGAATAAGAATATTAGCAATAAATATGAGCCACGGTAAAGCGATAAAATGAAACAATAATTCAACATAAAGAGCTAAAGACATATTTTCCCATTGTAAACCTTTTCAGTTCCTACATTATACCAGTAGATGGCGCACGTGTAACATTTAGAATCTTCCACAAGTATCGCTTTGAGAGGGGAAGTGACGTCATAGGCTGGACAACGATGGCGGTCGCCGTGAGACTGGTCAACAGAAACATTTTAAGACCAGGACATGGTCGACAGTACCTGGCGTTCGGGTCTGTAGTCCAGGTGAAAACGGTGAGTTATTACTTTTATAATTTAGCACCGGCAAGTTTTTTGGACACGGAAGAACTGCAGCGATAAGCTAGTTACTGTCGTGTGTTTTCCCCTTAGGCTAGCCTAAGAGCAGTCCACTCTCTTCCTGAAAAAGTAAAAATAGTGGAAGTGGGACCCCGAGATGGGCTACAAAATGAAAAGGTACGCTTATTTTTATTTATTTATTTATTTAAATTAATGTGTAACTAACCCGGAAACGCTCTAGTTTGTTGGTAATCAGAATAATTGTTGTTGCTCAACATTGTTTTGGTGCATATTTGTGTAAATTTAGTTGTTGTTTTTTTCTCCCCATGGTTTTAATTAAATGATTAGAAAACGAAAGTGTTGCGTGCCAAACAAACTAGTATACGTTTTAGATTGTTATTATCAAAAGGGGCCTAATCATATTTGTAAAATTTAAATTTACATTTGAGTAATAAATCATACAATCACTACATTATGGAATACAATCTTTAAATGTTTTCAAACTTATAATATTTTTGATCATAGTGAAAGGCAGGATATCAAGTATTTGAATATTATAGTTTTTTTTACTAGATTTAGACCAACAGAGTGGGGGAATGGTGGCTCAGTGGTTTGAGAAGGCGAGCCTGTGATCAGAAGGTCGTCGGTTTAATTCCCCAGACTGACAATATCAAAATGTGGATGGGAAAGGTGAAGCCCATTCATTTGCCCCACTTTGAGCCCCTGAGCAAGGCCCTTAACCCCCGGGCACCCTAAATGGCAGCTCTCTGCTCCGCACAGAGGGCTGTGGTAGCTCGGTGGTCTATGGTTGCGTCAGGAAGAACATCCGGTGGACAAACAATTGCCAAGTCGTTGAGCAAGTTAGTTCACTGTGGCAACCCCTGAGGAAGGGAGCAGCTGAAAATAAATAACTAAATAGTCCAACAGGACAGTTTTTTTTATTTGTAAACCTTGGCAACTGTTAAATATGAATAGAAAATACACATATTTGTGTATATATAAATTGAAGCATCATCCATTTACAAATACCAGACTCAAAATATCTAAAAGCAACTTATTTATTTCTATTATTTTGTTTTGTTCATCTGAAAAAAGGGGAAATTATGTTTTGTTAAACTTTGCTCCTCTTTAGACAATTAAAAAAAATCAGTGTAATTCAAATGTGTGTATTTTAAGATTAATTTCTAACCGTTTTTTTATGCCATTAAGGTTAATAAAATGCCTAAATGTTAAATGGGTCATAGTTCATGAGTGATGTAATCCAGAGAAACAATGTTAGTGAATGCACAGTCATCGTTGTCTACTACATTTTCCTTTGTGTTTGTTTCTTTTTTTCCCCTCTCAGACTGTTGTTCCAACAGAAACAAAAATTAATTTAATAAACATGTTGTCAGAGTCAGGACTACCAGTCATTGAGGCCACCAGCTTTGTCTCTCCTAAGTGGGTTCCACAGGTGAGTATTTTCCTCTTAGAGCTATCCGTTCTCAGAGAAAGTGCTGACGTGCCCCACTGAATACAGAAACTGCCATGTGTCGGCATGAACGGCACTTGTTTCTTTTTGTTTTTTTAGTTGCTGACATGTTTCTGTCATCCAAATGTCAGATGGCAGACCAGGTGGAAGTGATGAAAGGTATCAGTAAGAAACCAGGAGTGTCCTATCCAGTCCTCACCCCTAATCTCAAGGGTTTCCAGGCTGCCGTGAGTGTCAGACACAACAACGTATTTTACATCAACTCATCTATGCACTGTTTATGCAAACTGTACTATATTTCATTTCTTCTTATACTCTAGGTAAAGGCAGGAGCCTCAGAGGTGGCCATATTTGGTGCTGCATCTGAGCTGTTCAGTAAGAAGAACATTAACTGCTCTGTGGAGGAGAGTTTACAGCGCTTTGACGACGTTATGAAGGCAGCTAAAGAGGCTGCTGTGCCAGTAAGAGGGTATGATTGCTTGCCTACTTTTGGCTGTCAGTAAACCTTTAAATCATCATGACTTGTCGTTAAATTGTTGCTACAATGTTTCTCATCACCACAGTTATATCTCGTGTGTTGTCGGATGCCCTTATGAAGGCAAGGTGGCACCTGAAAAAGTTGCATATGTGAGTTCTTACTTGATATGTGCCGTGTTCTTTCAGCAAGTGTGAAGCCGTTTGTCTCTACTTGACAGAGCTAAATCTTTTTTATGTCTTGCAGGTAGCTAAGCGTTTGTACTCCATGGGCTGCTATGAGGTCTCTTTGGGTGACACTATTGGAGTGGGGACTCCTGGTAGTATGACTGAAATGTTAGAAGCTGTGAGCAAAGAGGTGCCAGTCAGTGCCTTGGCTGTGCACTGTCATGACACTTATGGTCAGGCTCTGGCTAATATCCTAGTAGCCCTACAGGTCAGGATGAGTTTATGTTGTCATCTTAAAGTGTCATTAATGTGATAAAATGCCCGTCTTGTTATTGTAATTCTAACACCGTTGTTAACGCTTTGTGTTTTTCAGATGGGAGTCAGTGTTGTAGACTCATCAGTAGCTGGACTGGGTGGCTGTCCATACGCCCAGGGGGCTTCTGGGAATGTTGCAACCGAAGATGTTGTTTATATGCTGCATGGACTTGGGATTCAAACAGTAAGAAATCACGTTGTTTTTTTTTTTGTATTTATTTATTTATCTCTAATCACTTTAAAGTAGTTCAGTTAAAACAAACAAAAAAAAATTGTAATATATGTCAACAAAAGCAGCTTAACCTAAACACCAAGCTATAAAAAAATGTTAAAGCTGTGCAACTTTTTATTAAAATGATTTGCTGGGGAAAAAGCCTGGTAGACTAGTTAGGTTAATTGGAAACAGGAACATAAATTCCATCCATCCATTATCTTTACCCGTTAATTCCATTTTGGGTCACGGGGGTCGCTGGTGCCCATGTCCAGCAGTCACTGTGCGAGGGGCGGGGTACACCCTGGACGGGTCGCAAGTCCATCACAGGGACACATAGAGACAAACGAGACAAACAACCATTCACTCTCTCACTCACACCTAGGGACAATTTTAGAGTTACCAATCAGCCTAACATGCATGTTTTTGGTCTGTGGGAGGAAACCGGAGCACCCGGAGAAAACCCACGCATGCACGGAGAGAACATGCAAACTCCACCCAGAAAGGCCCCTGGACCGGGGTTTGAACCAAGGACCTTCTCGCTGAGAGGCAGCAGCTCTGGAACATAAATTGATTATGTTTTTTTTTTTTTTTTTTTTAAAGGCCATCTTAAGCTTTGTCTTTCACAATTCAACATGTAAAGCATTTAATGTAAAGCATGTAAAGCATTTAACATTTAAAGCAGGTAAAGCATTTAACATTTAAAGCAGGTAAAGCTGGTCTGTTTGAATTGAACATCTGCTCCCACACACCTGATCCAGATCGTAAGATTACATTGTCACTATATCTTTGAGTTCTACAAAACCCTGTCAGTTGGATCTGTTTAAACAAAATAAAAAAGAAACAGAAAAGCATCTAAAGCATGCAGAAGATTAGCTCCTGTGGGTTACAGTTTAACTTCACCTATGTAAGGTATTCAGAGATGTGTAACTTGTTTCTCAATGGTGAAACCATCAATTTTGTGATTTGTGATGTTCAGGGAAGTTGTTCAGCGCTGCTTTAAAAGTAGCAGCTCTAGTTTTGGAAGTCACTGCATGGATTCTTAATTCTTCTAATAAATGTGTACTTGTATAGCACCTTTCTATCTTGTCAAGGTACTCAAAGCACTTTACACTACAATCTGTGCCCTCATTTACCTATTCATACAGCACTCTACTAGATCTATGCAAAGATTAATCAGTGCTTTATCACATTCATACACTGATGGGACACACATCGGAGGCAATGAGGGGTTCATTGTCTTGCACAGGAGCACTTCAGTATGTGACTGCTGGAATCAAACCCCCACCTCTTGCATTGGAGGATGACTGCTCTAACCACTGAGCCACAGCTCCCCCAAAATAACCTTTGTCAGTGAACGTAGATCATCACTGCATCTGCAAACACAAATCCAAACTATACCAAGCAAAAAAAAAAAAACTTCCCATACTGTAATAAAAGTAAATTAAAGTAAAGGACAATGCTCTGATTTAAAGAAGAAACATCTTGCTTACAATATTGAGGGTTTTCAAAATAAAAAAGATACTTTGAAAAATAGTACTCTTTTTGTAAAAATTATAACAAGCTTCCAATAAATAAATCAACTTATCATCTTCTTTAGCTTGTTTATGGCTGGGTTACAAAGGTAACAGGTCCAGGAAGTAGACCTAGACTTTCAGATGGTAATCCCTCCACATCTGCCCTGTGGTCTCCTCCCAGTGGGGCAGGCATTGGAAATCTCCAGAGGGAGGCGCTGAGGAGGCATCCTAATCAGACCCTCTAATCCCCAAATAAAAACTTCAAAAAATGTGTAAGTTTTCCTCTATGACTTTGTGCCTTCTTCTTAGGGAGTTGACCTCCAGAAGCTGATGGATGCTGGAGCTTTCATCTGCCGATCCCTCAACAGGAAGACCAGCTCCAAAGTGGCCCAGGCCATCTGCAAACTCTAGACTAAAACCTATATTTGACTTTTTTAAAACACTGAAGACGACTTCATCCTTTATTGTTTTAAATATACTTTGATTCATCTTGTTACAGGTTGTGATTACTTTAATCACTATGTGATATCAGTGCTGGAGTTGTGCCTTTTGTAAAGTCGAGCACATTTTTAGGATTTCATCTGTTAAAGGCTTTGTTGACAAACGTTTTGAAGGGGTTACTTTATGTTACTTTCCTGCCAGTGAAAAAGCCAAATGTAAAACAGGCTTTGTTTAAATTAATCAGTAAAAGTGTCCAGAGATGGGCTCGGTTTAGATTAAAGGTAGAAAAGGGTTATAATTACTATTAATAAGAGGGAAGTGATTTGTTTTTTTGTTTTCTTCGTCTCTTCCTGTAAGCAATGACCAGGAAGCATCTGTGAAAACAACCTTTCTTTACAAACTTTGGGCTTCTAATTGATGAAATGGCATCAAAAGTGTTGTAATTTTGTTTCCTAATATACTCTGTTGTAAGTTATTTGTTTGAAAATGCCTATAGAAATTAAACAAATCTCAAACTTTGAAGATTCTAATTTTTAAAATTAAACTATTTCACCAAACAAAAAAAAAAGTTTTTGATTGTAATTTTTAACCCTGCATGAAAGCACGAAATCTGACACGCAGCCTGTGTCGCATAATTTTTTAAAGGCCAATTTTATTTTTGTACCTTTTTTCTACATCAAGTGTATGTTTTAACTATCATAGGAGAACTGTAAGGGTAGTACTAATGTGTGGGAATTCAAGTTACAAAAACTAACTGGGATAAATGGCTACATTTCTGTTGCAGCATGTTTTTAAAACCTGACGGACAAGTCCGACTGGCAGACTTGAGCTTCTTGCGACACGCTGAACCACCGTGCATAAAAATATCACATCCTGATAACTCGTATCCAGTTAAATAGATCCTACTGATTGATTACTGATCCAGTCAGTAACAATGGAACCCACAAATAGGAATTGATTAGTAAAATTATTTGTTAAAATCTATAATTTATAGATGTTTTTGAAATCTATACATTTAGACTTGAATTAGCTGTAGCTATTTTTGTTCTAACAATTCAGTTTATGTAACGCAAATACACAACAAACCATCTCGTGGAACTGAACTAAAACACTAAAACATGCACATGTAAAATGCCAGTGTGTAAAAGTTATTGTTCTAAAGAAGCCAGCAGATGACCTCAAATCTACACTTGGGTCACAATTTTCCTGAGCAGCACAGTGGCGACAGTGGAAAGGAAAAACTCAATTTTAACAGGAAGGGGACAGAGATGGAACAAAATGGTTCTGGAGAAGTTTCTATAGGAAGAAAACTGATAAAAATGATTACAAACACGAGTAAAGAGCAGCAGAGGGAGGAGTTGTGGTCAGTTCAACAGTTAAAGCAGAACTAAGGGATAGTTCAGGAAACCTAACTATAGGATGGATCAAAAAGTTAAGCCTAGTTTTAAAGGCAGACTGAGTGACAGCCTCACAAACAGAAACTGGAAGTTGATTCTGCAAGAGAAGAGCTTAACTGAAAGCTCTGCTTCCCGTTTGAGAAACTCTAGGAACCACAAGTAAACCTGCAGTCTGAAAGCAAAGTGCTCTTTTTGAATCTTTTACGATGGAGCTTGGTTGTTGAGAGCTTTAAGTTTTAAAAACTTAAGATTTTAAAGTCTTTCTGAATGTGACAGGAAGCTAATGGAGAAGCTAAAACTGCAGAAATATATGATCTGACTCATCAAAACTAGCAGCAGCATTTGGATCGACTGAAGATTAAAGAGTTGTTTGGACATGACCAAGACAAAATTTGTTTTATACATAATATTTATATGTAAAAAAAAAAAAAAAAAGTCAAATATTAACAACAGCAAGAAATACATTTCCACATTGTGTCCACGTTGAGCAGAAAGTGACTCGGTTTGTCCACGTGTCCGTCCAGCTTCCCTCCACTGTGATTCAGCGCTATCGCACAATCGCAGAGACAACATTCCTTTCACCGTATTTGAGTCAGCGCCACGGTGGTCTTGGATCAGGCGATGTTTACAAACACTTCAAAACACAGAGAAAAAAAAATCACGAACACCGTTTGAGTGTGCAGCATTAAACCGGAGACGGAGCAATGACGACAAATATACAACGCGTTTTGACTTTATCTGAGAAAAAAAAAGCAATGAAATTCTCATTTTGGGTCAGTTTGGACATAAAGTCTTACAGCGTTTACACACATCAGACTTTTGTACGGTGCTGGGTTCATCTGAACATCAAACTTTGAAGATAAAGCCACAGTATAAAAATAAATACAAGAGATCTCTTTTTAAATAGCTTGGCAAACTCGGTCACAAAAGTGACGCACCATTGTAGATACTGGCAAGGTGACTGAAATACCTCCGCCAGGTGTGTCCCTGCTCCATGTGACCGCTTCAATTCCCTCCTTTTGCAAAGTCAGAACTCCAGTTCAGAAGTAAAAGTGGGAAGACCTTTACAGGAACGTTTTAATAAACATGGCACACAGACATTTAACCACGCACATCACCAGCAAACAAATCAATCCGACTTTAATGGATGTCTCGTAAATATTGTTGGTGTCGACTTGGAAACCAAAGTTCAGGACGATTTTTCTTTCAAGTCTTCCACACCAAGGTGGGATGAATCCAGAAGGGATGGCTCTGATACTCTGCTGCTTGGCTCACAGTTCTGAGTGTTTTCTGTTTAGTTTGGGACGCAGCCAAAGCTCCGAGCTCTTGATTTCTGGCCTGATTTCATTTTCATGAAGTGGAGGACAAGTTAGGAGCGGAGGCTCGTATCTTTTTATCAAGACTGAGCGAAGGGAAGAGCAGAAACTGAGGGTTGGGGTTCTCCAACTCCCTGAACGACGGAGGCTTGTTTTTCCCATTATGCCTCGACATAGACATGTTGTAGTTGTTGAAGGAGTTCTCGTTGTTGTAGTCTTCTTGGGGGATGTTCATGGTGCGATGTCGTGTTCTGATCTTCTTTGCGCATCGTGCAATGCGCTTGGAGATGAGATAAATGATCTCACAGATGTTCAGGACGATGCAGAGGGCCGAGGCTCCAACCATGAAGTAGGTGAAGACCTTCTTTTCTGTGGGGTGACCGATGTAGCAGTCCACCTGATTGGGGCAAGGTGACACCTCACACTTGACAAGCCTGGGCAGGTAGAAGCTGTCGTAGATTCTGTGGAGGATGTAGAGGAAGGACACCTCGATGCCCGTCTTGGCAAAAAGACTGATCAGGTACGTCCACCACAGCCCGCCATGTTTCTTGCCCGTGTTGTTGTACAACTTGCTGTCCTCGCCAGCCTTGGCCCTGTGTTTGCGCTCGCGGTCGTCACGGTACGCCACGTGCATGACCACCATGAACGACGGGCACGTGACGAAGATGAGCTGCAGGGCCCACAGGCGGATGTGGGAGATGGGGAAGAAGTGGTCGTAGCAGACGTTGGCGCAGCCAGGCTGCTTGGTGTTGCAGTCAAAGTCCTTCTGCTCATCACCCCAAACCCGCTCGGCCGCCACCACGTACACCATCACCCTGAACACGAACACCACCGACAGCCACACTCGTCCGAACGCAGTGGAGTACTTGTTCACCCCGCTGAGGAGGGCTTGGAAGGTCTTCCAGTCCATGGTTTTGATTCGTAGTCAAATACCTTTTCTTTATAATTCTTCTGTTTTGGTAGTTGATCCGGCCTGAAAGCGACAGAACACTCCGGTAAAACACACAAAAACTTCTCTTAAAGCTGATTACAGTGAAAACATGAAGTTCTCATAAGAACAGCAACGGAAATGGTAATGAGTGGGCCTCAGGGCAAACTGCTAACAAAGAAACTTGAACCAACTTATAATAACACACCCAGAACTTCTATATTTACTCTGATCACTCATCTCACATTTTCAATCAAAGATCTATGAAAATAAAATGTCACTTTCTGTTGTCTGTGTTAAAATGGGGGAAGTAAACCTAAAGGAAATACAACAAAAACAGCTTTTACGCACTGAAGCAGCTCAACTCGCTGCGTTCCCAGCAGACTGAAACGCGAACGAAACTCTCCTAAAACGCTTTCATTTGATGTTTTTCACTTACTATTACATGGATAAATCCATAGCTGTTTAAAAAAAAAAAAAAAAAGAGTCGCCAGTGTCCGCTTGGTGTTCTTGTTTTCGAGTTTGGATCCTGAAACGCACAGACTGGATCCCCTCGACAGGTACGAGGAGCGCGGAGTGCAGAAATGCGCCTGTGGGTGGGTGTGGTTACAGAAGCCAAGGAAGGGCTGGAGCTGCCCCAGATGTTCCGTTTACGCCTTCCTCCTCTTCCTCAGTGTCACCCGAAAAAAAAAAGGAGCTCAAATGTGCTTTATAAATATACTTTTTTTTTGTATATTCGTGTTTTGTTGCAGGGTTCGCCAGAAGAAAAAGCAAAACGCATGAAGCTTCCTGAAATGTTTCATTCGTCCAGATGTGTTTGGTTAAAAACAGCTGTGCACAATCCTCCAAAAGGACCCGGGCATAAACTCGAAACAGACAAATAAACATCTTTATTGAAATCTCACTGCCTCTTCATTTCTCTCTTTTGCCGTCCTTCATTTTTTTTTTCAAATTTTTACATTAAATATAAATTAGTAGAAATTTATTTAACTGTTTTAACTCTTCATTTTAATTAAAAAAAAAAGTTTAATACAGTTTTAACACACACATGTGATTTTAATGGAGTGAGGAGGAAGGACTTCAAATTAACAAATAAAAAGGTAAAATAAAAGTAAAAATGAAGTCAGACTAAAGGGACAGTCTGGTTATTTTTGTAGTGATGTTTTGTCAAATAGTCACCAAAAATTAGTTCTTTATTAACTGTGTCATCACTCATAGACAGCACATACAGAATATAATGAATTAATATAATGAACAGAGTTGAATTAATATAATTTTGATTGTATTTAAATTATAGTTTTAGGGTTACAGTAATTAGTTTTAATAAAGCCCAAATAGATGTTAGGGTTGGCATGTGCACCAAAGAAATAACTCAATTTTATTCTCGTTAACAACAAGTCTTCAACTGGAAAACAACAAATAATCAGGGGTCAAAGTGAAATTAAGATTTTATTTAAATATATATTACCTACAGAAAGAAAACAACTTCAAACTCTTTACATTCGGAGCCATAAAACAGTATTCATTTTGATCAAGCTGGTTTTAGACGGAACAGAATGAGGCCTATACCCCAATAAAGAGTTTTTGTTCAACTTTCAGGGGGTTGCACAGTTTAAGTGTCTCTTTCCACATTCTATGTTTCCAGGAACAAGATTGCCTCCTCGTTTCATTGTTTGCCTGCACACGCAAAGGGTAGGCACACCTTGAATACATTTTTTTGTTGTGCAAGTCTTTTGACACTTTTTTTTGTTCAACAAGTTTCCATGGTGACGCTCTAATTGTTGATGTTGACGTTTGCAGTTTTTTAAGATAAGTTGCTTTAAAAATTGCACACAAAAAAAAGACCTCATTTCCTCTTTTGTGAAGAACTTGCACTATTTAATCTGACTGGCTTTATAATAATGTAAAGCAAAAGAGTTGTGTTGCTTTCACCCCTTTCAAACCTTTGTTCTGCTCCGTTAACAAAGTCACACAACTCCCTAGAGTCTCAGTATAATACTCAGATTGTATAAGTTAGTTTTAGCTATGTGCAAAACATAAATCTGTTTTGATATTCTGAAGAAGAAGAACATTTCACTTTTATCAGAAGACGAGTTGGAGTTCTCAGAAATGCCAGCTCCTTAAAGTTTACAGCCACGGATGTGCACGAACATGCTTGTTCTTGTATTCGGAGCTATTAAATCCAGTGTTGAAACAGCATGAATAAAAAGAAAAGACCATGTGCTCTAAAGTTAAACCAAGATTAGTGCTGCACATAGTCTCATTTAATGCTTAAATTGTGCATTAGTTCAATAAGAACTTACAAAAGGATTCTTACTAATTGAAAAAATGCAAGAAACTAAGGTGTGTTGCTTTTTTTAATGCATTATAGTTGTGCAGTGTTTTTCTTATGAGAATGAACTCAACTATCACTGAGACAAGTAGTTCTTTCTTCTATTTTATTTTATTACTTTTACAGATGTTGTGCTTCTCAGGTAAGTCATGTTCAGCGTCTACCTTTAGCACATCAGGATAACATCTGTTCTTTTGAAATTTTGGACATTTCGGCGAACAAGTGACGCAATCGAGAACGAGGGAGAGGTAAAAACTTGTGTTATTTTTTTTGCCTGTAGGCTATTTATGATGAACTGGTCATGGCAGTCTGCAGAAAACACATTTAAAAAGAATGCACAGCGTGACTCAACCTCTGCCAATGACAAGTCTTAACAAGAACAACACAACAGGATAAACACACAACTCTCAACTGACGGCGCTGAGAAAGGAAGGAAGCCGTGAAAAGGTGTGCTGAAAACCTTTCCAGAAAGCCTGGGAGGTTTGGGTGATGACTGTTGTGCGCCGGATCAGTTAAAGAACTGCACAGTCAGACGGGCTAAACAAAACAAGCCTGAACATGCTGGAACCACTTACGAACCCACTTCATGATCACCAGGAAATAAAAAGATATGTTGATTTATTTCATAGAATCTAATCAAAATGTTCCCTCAAAGCCACAAAAGAGACTAATCATTCAAATAAAAGGTTAGGAAGTTTATCCATCTGTGTATCTTCTTGGATGTTTCCGAGGATTGTTGGGGTAACAGTCTGGATAGAGATCCTCACAATCCTTTCATGAGGGTTGCAAAGGGTTCCCAAATGTGGAAAGCCCTCAGGCCATTCAATGAGAAAAACATTTACATTATGTGTCAGCTGGTGTCACTTCATTGTACAGATGCTTAATAATTTCAGAGGTTATTGTGCTCATCACAACATTAAATACTCTTCCTGGAGACATTGTGCTCATCATTCAATTGGAGAGATGGGGGTTTGATCCCTAGGCCCTGCATTGAGACAAACTGTCCTTGGGCAATACACTGTACCCCCACTGCAATATGCATTTCGTGAGTGAGTACATAAATACTGCATATAATATGTACAAAGAGAATAGATAACGCTGTTTGAGTGGGTGAGAAACTGTGAAGCTCTTTGCAGAACCTGGAGAGGTTAAAACGTCGCTACATGCTGTAAGTGAGGAGCATGGCAGGGGATAGTCTTTAGGTTGGTAATGATTCTTCTCAAACATTCTCTTCAAATCCTTCAACGTTTCGGCTCAATTTAGGTCAGAAGTTTGCTTTAAAGATCTTTATTTATAGTAGAGTAAACATGAGTCCAGAAACATCTGAGAGCTTAGGCTTTGGTAAACCCGTCCCCATTCGTAGTCGGGTCGCAGAGGCAGCAGGTCCAGGAGAGAACCCACACATCCCTCTCCTCAGCAACACTCTCCAGTGTTCCCAGGCCAGAGAAGATACACAAATCCTTCATTTAGTGGGTTTGCACTTATCAGTGGGACGTGTTCAATAAACGACCAGTAGGCATCAGATGCCAAACCACCTCATCCTACTCCTTTGGATATGAAGGAGCAACGACTCTACTCCAAGCTCCTCACCCTGTCTCTAGGACTGAGCCATCATCACCCTATGAAAGATGCTCATTTCAGCTGCTTGTATCTGGGATCTCAGTTTTTTCTGTCCTGATCTAAACCACAGGACCATAGACGAGTATTAAAACATAGACAGACCAGTAAATACAAAGCTTCTCCTTTTGACTCAACTAGTTTTTTCACCACGACCGACCGCAGCAACGCCCCCATTAATGAGGACGAGGCCCCAATTTGTCGATACATCTCCCACTCCATCTTATCACTCGTGAAATCCATCCATCCATACACAATATGACCTGAACATGCTACACTAGACTAGCATAAGATACGTCACAAAACATTAAAATATTCTTTGACACCTTTTTTGAATCACAAATTCTTCTCTAAACAATAAGTTCCTGCTACAAAAAAGCTCCTTAACTAGAGATCTTTTTCAAAAAGATGCAAGAACAAAGCCCTCAGGTGTTGGTGACTCTTGTCACCCTTCCAATGAGCTGCTTAATCACCTCTTGTTTTGCTACATGTAGGATTTAGTATATGTATTTTTAAATATGGATAAAAAAACATGAGGTGTTCTGTGTGCTGAAAGATTGTCAGAGTCCAAACTCTTTAAAAGGTTTTTGTAACTTTTTTCTATAACTTTTGAGCATTTTCTCTTTTGTCCCTTCAATAAATGGATGAAAATAGTTTGACCTTTTAATAAAAAATGGGCACACTCTCACAGGATTTATTAAATTCTCATTCCAATTTTGAATAAACCACTAATACTAGATTATTTTATACTTTTACTACTAAAGTTGCATTATCAAACAGAACAACCAGGAGGCAAAAACCTCCTTTGAACTATTTATTCTATGCCTCTTTATTTAGGCACAAATCAATGTAAAACATTAAAAAAAAGAAAAAAAATGCTTATTTGTTGCTTTAAAATGATTCTTTGTATGACATTTGAGTGATTGCAGAACTGTGCCATCAGTTTTAAACATTAAAATTACCTTAAACCCTTTAACTATTTTAATAGATAATTTAATTCTTTTTCAATAATTTACTCCCTGTCATTTCAATATAACGACATTGGCACAATAAATTTATAATCATTGGTAAAAAGATTTTTGTTTAATGGCTGACACAGACTTTAGGCTTCCCTGAAGCATCAACAGTGCCTGCAGATTATCCCGTCGCTGTTTGTAGAAAGATTTTTGACTTGTCGAGATCTGTTTATGCCATTCCTTCATTGGCACATAGAAGTAAATAGAAGTGTTTGAAAACCTTAGAACAAATAGTTATAAAAGCCCCCAAGCTCTCACCACATCTCTGCCTTGGCATGCTGCAGACAGAGAACTGTAACCAAACGTTCATAATCTGTGTTTCGTGTCAGAACTCAGATTCCTGCATTGGGTGGAGTTGCCCTCAGCGCTGATGAATCAAACCAAGAAGAAGAGAAGCTCCTCCTGTTTTTTCCAAATGTACCAATCTTCCTAAACAATGGAGGCGCCTCACATGGCAACAAAACAATCAGTGCCTCCAATGAGGAGGAAGGATCTGATTTAATTTGTGCTACACATGGAAGAAAAACGTGACTAGAAAAAAAAATGGCTGCGCTCTTTGCCAAACCACAGAACTTGTGCAAAGTCAACAAATCCTTTTCTTTTCTGTATGGGTGGAAGGTTTACACTTCTCTGAAGTACATTCTCTCATGTTAAGACTGTCATTTAGTTTCGTGTACGTTTATAAGCGTCTGTGCTGGCGTAAATGCTGAAGTGCATGTGAGCATCTGAGCCTTTTGTGTATTTTAGACAAAAAAAACCATTATTGTTTAATCATAAAATAATATTTATTACAAAAAACATTTACAAATACACTGAATAGTTGCACCTCAGCACTGTAAAATATGTACATCCGTTAAATTTGTTGACAAAACTGCATTTTCCTTTTTCTCATGCTCCAGTGCATGAATAAAAACAGTTCAATCATGACACATCAGGACAGTGTCCTGCTTTTTTTTTTTTTTTTAATAACGTACAAAAACAGCACTCACAAAGAGCCCAAAACGAACGTCTGTGTGAAAGGAGAAAAGTTTCAGCGCAGACTGAACGTTTGAGGCTGGAAAATCTTACACAGAAAAACCACATGTGCTGGTAAAGCTTGCCAAACCAAGGAATGACTCATGCTGCTGCTGTAGAGGCTAAATCAGACAAGCTTTTAGTCATTTCTTTAGGACCATAGAGGCTCGTATATTTAAATAAAATCAACTTAAAAAGACAAAAAAAGTGCACATTCCAGATTTATGACGCGTATACTTCCTGGTTCAGAAATACGTGCTCTCAAGCAGGAAGGAAATACAGTAATGTCTCTGTAGTTTTGTCTCTGCTTAAAAATATTAAGTTAACAAAAAAAAAAAGGGACAGTTTGTTCATGTCAGCTTTGTTCTTCCAAAGAGTCTTTGTGGTCCTGGATCATGAAACAGCCACGCTGTATGAGGGTGCCGGTGTTTCAGGGGTGCTTTTGCCCATCAGTTTTAGAGTGTTTGGCTCCATCAGGTTGCTTCCACTGGACATTGCGTTGGTCACCACAGAGCGAGAGTGATGTTTTGATGAGAGACACTCGTGACAGCGTTTGCCGATCAGGTAGATGATTTCAAAGAAGGAAAGGATAATGCAGATGAAACTGGTAACCACCATGAAGATGGTGAAGATCCTTTTCTCAGTGGGACGAGCGATAAAGCAGTCCACCGTGTTGGGACAAGGGTCCTCTCTGCACTTGATGAGCGAGGGGAAGTCGTAGCCCTCGTAGATGTAGTAGAGAAGGTAGATGAAAGTAGCATCTACTCCTATTTTGAAGATGAGCGTGAGGACGTAGGTCCACCACAGGCCCCCACGCTTCTTGCCAGTGTTCTGGTAAAGACTGCGGCAGTTCTCGCCGTACTTCAGTCTGTGCTTTCGTTCCCTGTCCTCCCTGTAGGCCACGTGCATCACCACCAAGAGTGAGGGGCAGGTGACAAAGATGAGCTGCAGGGCCCACAGCCGCACGTGGGACACGGGGAAGAAGTGGTCGAAGCAGACGTTGTGGCAGCCGGGCTGAGCCGTGTTGCATTTGAAGTCTCTCTGCTCGTCTCCCCACACCTTCTCGGCGGCCACCACAAACACCATGACCCTGAAGAGGAAAACAATGGAGAGCCACACTCTGCCGAAGGCTGTGGAGTATTTGTTCACCCCGCTGAGGAGGCCCTGGAGGAATGCCCAGTTCATGATAGGTGTTTGTTCGAAGTCGGTCTTCTCGTTCTGTTGATTGAAGACAACCTCTTTTAGCTAAAATGGCACAAATCCACTTCAGGTATCTATCAGCCTGGAACAAAAGATAAAGAGTTAAATCCCACTGTGAGACAACAAAAACAAATCAGGTCGAGCTGGGTGTCAACATGTACAGTAATCTCATGTTCTCAAACGAAAATGAACTTTTAAGCAACAAATGATGATAAAATAGAAAAACTTTTTGTTTAATACGTTACACTAACACAAAGACAACTGTGTCGCTGCACGGAAACAAGTCACTCTCTTTCCAAACTTTGCGCTACGAACTCCAAAAAGTTTCAACATTTCGCGCGTAATTACGCACAGACACGGTAAAATCAACAAACTCCTCTTTACTTTTCGACTGATACGTTTTTTTGTAGATTCTTTTCGGATACTCACAGTTTGAACGCGGCTCACGGAGCTTCCCAGTCGGAGCTGCTCGGAGATAAAGAACAGCGCGGAGAACCAGAGCAGATCTGCCAGCAGGACGCGAGCGGAGAGAGGAGGAGCTGCGCGCGCGTGCCAGGACACCCTCACCGCTCCCAACCTGCTCAGGTGTGGCTCCAATGCCCAAAAACTTGTTCCACCAATACAGCGCAAAAGCAGCGCGTTGCTCAAAGACTCCACTGCGCAACGATGGATGCGTCGTGCGCATGGAGTTAAATAAGACAAGTAGGGGGCGCACTTCCTGTCCCGTCCACTGCTTGCGTCATGGAGGTCACAAATTATTTCCAATACTTTCACAATAAATTCGTCAAACTGATAATTAATGTTAATTCAGTTATCATGTAAAACTAGATGATATATAAGGATAACTAGATCCGAAGTCAATCAATAACAAGAACAAATCAGAAATTACATATAAAGAGTATTGCATAACTATTGCAATAAAACATATTATTATTATTTACCTAGTAAACACAGAAAATGTTCACTACATACCCAGTGATTGATGGATGAAACTTGTCTCTACTGATACTGGCTAACCATCTTCTCAACAGGTTAGGTTTGTGTAATGGAAATCTAAAAATAATCAAATATAAATTAATATTTTTCATTGTGTAAATAATCCATAAATATGAGGAAATGGCATATTTATATTTTTTATAATGTGTTAAATTGTAGCATGATTCAGCATAGTGTAGGCCTATAACAATACAAGACACTATTAGCCAAAGAACAGCAAATGCATCAGCTTTATAGGCTCATTTTAATTTTAATCTGTTGCATTATTAGCTTCAATTATGGTCAGATCAAATTTATATTAAGGTAAATATGAGCAAATTTGTTAATTTGTGAAACGAGGTACATTTTCTTTTTTCTCTTCAGTTGGTACAACCGTAGCACACACAGCTTTGTGGCGTTTTTACAGATTTGATACATTTTACTATCATAAATCAGCTCTTGCTGTTTGCCATTATGACAATAAGTCCAGATGCTTTCCCTCTATGGTTATGACTCTAGTCCCTCCATTGAGTCACAATGTCACGTGACCAAGGCGCCCTCTAGTGTGGTTGTATCAAATAATGTAAAAAAAAAAAAAAAGACAAAAAAACAAAAACAAACAAAAAAAAAGGAACAATGTCTGTTTTATGAAAATGTTTTTATTGAAATATTTACATGACAAAAAAAAAAGTAAAAAAAAAAAGAGCATACATTTATTTTTAGACAAACACATCCCGTCATACACTCATACAAACTAGCATAATATATATTTTTTATTTTATTCACACATATTCTCCACAGTCTGAGATGATCACTTTCTGCTTTGGCTTTCCGTCTTTTGTTCCCTGAGCCTGAAAAACACAACAAAATCCATAACTGGGCAATAAAAAGAAGACTATTTGCATTTAAATGCTAAAAGTTTTTTTTTTTTTTTTTAGATTTGCAACTCCACATGTCTAAATGTTAAACTATGATGAAGAAATTATTTCTTAACAATATGCAATTCAAATAATGAGTGTTTTTCCACTTAAACACAGTTAAAATAATCAGACAAAGCTGTTATTTTTCAACCGTTTTGTGATAATACATTTTTAATTTGCACGTTATTTCAATAAAAACAAATGGAATCACTGATATAAATCTTTATTCATTCACAGGTTTCTCTTGAAAATGAGTCCTTGAGGCTCAATGAGACTAACCTGTATAAATAAACGTTGAATTGAATTTTATAATAAAAGCCTCTAATATTCTTAAAAGACACTGTAGTTTTAGCACTTACCTCCATTGCTTGAACTACATCCATCCCCTCCAGCAGTTCTCCAAACACCACATGTTTACCATCCAGCCAGTCTGTTTTATCAGTGGTGATGAAAAACTGCGAGCCGTTAGTGTTTAACCCAGAGTTGGCCATGGAGAGCTGTCCTGCGAGCACGAAAGTAAACCTTTAACCAGACAAGATCGACCCGTCAACCTAAAGCAAGAGGGTGATTTGTGTGCTCCTCACCTGGAGCCGTGTGTTTGAGGATGAAGTTCTCATCATCAAACTTCTTGCCGTAGATGGACTTGCCGCCGGTGCCGTTGTGGTTGGTGAAGTCGCCTCCTTGGCACATGAACTGAGGAATAATCCGGTGGAAGCTGCTGCCCTTGTAGCCAAAGCCTTTTTCATGAGTGCACAAGCAGCGGAAGTTCTCTACAGAAAATATAAGAACATTAAAATTACCGTTTTTAAAACGGTTACTCTACATAGTACGTTTTATTTCACAGCTGACCAGTTCATTACTGGGTTTTTTTTCTCTTTTTTTGAAATCCAAAAGAAAAATGTGCGGCAGGAGGGAATAATTTTTCAGTCATGTTGGTATTTGAAGGGAGCAACTACTCTGCCATTAAACTGGAATTTAAACAGGATGTTGCTGCTGAGATAGCAAGATTAGCTGCACATTTTTTTTTTTTTTTTTTAAATAACGCCCTTTGAACAAATGCCAGTGCATTTCTAAGGATGAGTGTTCTGCAGGAATCACCCTCCGTCCCTCGTGTTTTACCCACCTTGAACTCGAGCTTTGAAGAAACTATACAGCAAACTTCAAAAGCTCACCAACACCTGAATATTATACTTTGTTTCTGCACTGGACTTCTGTTCTTATAATTAATTAAAACAACAGTGCATGCATAAGAGACAGGAAAGGTGGAATATTGTAACATCTTTGACAGGTAAACCAGCTCTCGTATTAAGAGTCAAAGGTGTGGGGGGGATAAATTTGTCATTCCATAAATCAAAAAACGCTGCCAGACCAAACCCCATTACTTTAAGGAAAAATACATTCTTTATGTGTGTAAATGAGATTGTGGGTTGTAAGTTACCAGTTTGAAAACAATTAATGAAAGATGAGTTAAAAAGTGGACTAGGACAGAACATTAAATACATAATGCTGTGAACAGATTGGAGCAACATCACGTCACTTCCTTCTTTAAACAGTCTCACAAGAAGTCGGAATGTGAAACATCAGGCCACTGAGTGGCGTTGTTCATCCACTCTTAGATTATGGAAAAACATTCAGTTTTATGAAGGTTTTCCTGGGCAACACTAGCTATTGTTGATTGACAGTGACATTATGAAAATGATTTCCTACCAGGACAAATTGTTTGAGCCCCTAACAATCTAAAACTTCAAGCGTCCAGTACAATCGTTTGATTTATTGCTGTTTTCTTAGCAAACACCTCAGAAGTTGCATTTACTGCCAGTAAAATGAGTTTGTTTTCATAAAAAAAAAAGGTTATTAACATTATACAAAGAATAACTATCATGTGTTGCTCTGATCCACAGAATGCATTTTAACAACCTACCTAAAATAAGAATTAACTCTAAATACATAAGAGACATAAATAAATAAATCTAAAATAGGAAGGTAACTAGTTTATATTATTATTATATATTATGAGCATTTTCAAGGCTTTGTCTCACCATTATTCAGGTTTTCAGTCAGAGAATGGAAATCGTGAATTACTCCAATAGTGATATGCTGGTGAAGATTCAGTCATCCAGGTCATCAATTCATTAATTTTAAGTTTTGGTCAAAGGTTATGAATGTTTTTATTACTATGGCTGTTGTTTATTAATGCCAACTCTGCCCATGAATCATATGTTTGGGTGAGTAGAATTACTCTTTTTGGTAAGATAAAGCAAGAATATTTTTCTCCAACATTCCACACATTTTTGAACTAATCAAGCCTCCTGGATGGGAAGTGAAACGTCTTCCGCTTCAGAATAGAAGTCCAGTTGTTTCTGTTTTTAAACTCCAATAGCAAAACCAGTGACTGCAAAACACAAGCTGTTTTCAATTCATTTGGCTTTAGTCAACCTCTTACTTTTAGATTCAAAAGCATGTTATTTTGAACAGAAACTAACTGTAAAATTCAGTATTCTTTAAAGAAATACAGTAAAGTGTCTCCCTACAATATCTTTAAAAAAGCTTTTTGCATGAATCAGAGTGGAGACCTGCTGTCATTGGAACAATGTCTGCTCGGAGGAGGAAGCGCAGTCTTCCTGCTGGTTTGTTGCCAATCTTGATGTCCATGTAGACCTGCGGATTTACTCTGCCCTTTTTGGCTGGTGGCTCACCCTGCAAAAAACAAACCCACAAATATAAACAATCAAGATCCCACAATAGTAAATGGTGCAAAAGGTGTTTTTCTGCCCCTGGGAGCAACTAAGGTATTCATACGGCACCTATTTACAATTAGTCTCTTGCATACAAATATACAGAGAAAACAGAGAAACTAATTCAGTAACAATGCTAAAAAAAACATTATCACAGTGCCATTAAAGGTGGGTGATCATCGTAGTGCACTTGTCTGTCTGTTCAATTATCTTGTTGACCAGTGGATAGATTTTAATGAAACTCGGAACATAATTATTAGATGTGCATCTACAACTAAATAAATAGTCAACCCAGGTCCAGATGGCCATCACAGGTAGGAGCTCTTAGTAAACACAAAATGCCTATAACTCAATCAGTTGTAAAGACATTGAGCTAAAACTTGGTGTGGTAGTAGCTGAGAGTTATCACGATCACAAACTCCAAACACTAACTGGTTACTTTACATTTTTATTTAAAACTTCAGCTGCAAGCTAGCAGGTGGTAGGCATCCCTTCAAAGAATGTTAGTTCATTTAGCACAAAATGTACAATCTGCATGCACAGTGAAGATGCCCAAGGTGTTTGTTTTTCGTATCGAAACCAAGAAATACTTAGACATACTGGATCATACAATGGAAAAAAAAAAAAAAAGAGTCCTTATTTATAGTTCTATTCATTCTAACTGCGTGTATAATTAAATCAAAGTCATTACATTCAGACTGGTTGTTTTAGATTGTATAATGCCAAATGTAAATTTGTAAAAAGCTTTCTAGCCATGAAAGCCAAGTAGTTATTTTAAATCGTTACTTGGTTCAACCTGTCATCTGGAGCTTGCATGAGATGTTGTATTTCAAAATGTGGGGGGTCAGAGATAAAAATGACCCTTTTATGAACTGGCTTAGTGCGCATTAAAGTAAAAGCCACCTCACCTCCTGTGTCGTGGTGGTTGTTTCACCAGCATTTGCTTCGCCCTCAGGGTCTTCCACAGTTTTCCCTGAGAACTTCTTTAGCCAGTCGTCATCCGACCACACTGTGGGAGAAGCAGTTACAGTCACGCCAATGAATCATTCAAAACATACAGTTTCTGCACAGATTTCTTTCCAGTCACCTGGTCGAGAAGAACCCTCTTTGATTCTCATGGGCTTGGCGATGTTGACACGGACAGTTCGCCCAAACAGTTCTGCTTCATTCTAGTAAAAGATAACATTTATTAAAACAAGATGCCTCGTTTGTGAAAAATTGCACACAAAAACAAGAATATTTTCTTGCACAACAGGAACATGACCAACATACCATGTTATCAATAGCTGCAGCAGCATCCTGCAGAACAAAAAAAAAACAACAATTAAATATTTAATAAAAAAATATTGTTTTAAATCATTGGATTGGCATGCGAGTGTATTTCTGAATATTTATGCTCTTACTTAAATTCTGGACTTCTTAGATGTTATGAGCAACAGTTTTTGGCTTTTCCCAGACTCAAATTTAATATCTTTCCAAATTACACATATTTTCTTTGCTTCATTCACACAACTAATGGTAGAATAACTTTCTAAATGTATGACAACATTCAAATTAAATAGTTTAATAATCCATCCTTCTTTACTGTGGTTTATACTGTAAGGTTTTCTGACCGCACATAAAAAGGATTTTAGGCATTTGAGCTGCTTTGTGCTACAAAACAGATGAACTTCAACTGCATATAAAAGTCAGAACAAGCTGTTCAGTATCAGACAGTTCTGTGTCTAAATTAGGATTTTATACATTATATTATTATAATACATTATAAGATTGCGAAGACAAAACTACACCTGTTGACATACCTCTGCCAGCTCAAATTCAATGAATGCAAATCCTCTGTGTTTTTCTGAAAATTGAACATGAAACACAAGAGATTAATTTTACTGTCAGTAGCACCTATTAAATCACACATAAACACTACTGGACTTACCTGTTTCATAGTCTAAAGGTATCTGGATATCTATAATGTCTCCAAAGGGAATAAAAGCTGCATGCAACACCTTTTCATCCACCTCATCTGCCAAACCACCTGGCAGAAATACTCAGTCAGTCGCCGCTAATAATATCGATTCAGTAGGCAGAATAACACATTTAAAATATGTAACTTTAATGTTTTTACAGACTAGTAATCGTATAGCATAGCATAATCCAGTTTGGCGAAGAATAACGCTGAAAATGTTTTAATTCGGTCAGATGTTTCATTTTAATTCTTTGTTTAAACGTAATTTTAAGTTCATTACGTATAATAAGATAGATAAATATGCATATAGTTTGGGTTTACGTTCCTGTCTTAATTACACTAACGTTGTTTTGTGAATAAGTCATCTAAAAAGTTAAAAGCATCGGGAAGTGTAAATATTTTTTGATTAAATTAAGAAAAAAAATGTTAAACTCACCGACATACAACACTCGTTTACTAGCCGCCATATTGAATATAACATGTCAACTTTGACCCCGATCGCTGATTGGTGGAATCACAGTAAGCCCCGCCTCTCGTCTTTATTTTTTCTTGCATCCCCTGGTGGCCAAATCTGATATTACAGCTCTTATTTTATTATTAAGCATCCGAAACCAGAACTGGATTTAGGAAAGGAAGCACAGTAAAAATGATCTTGATTGATTTTCCATTATTTAAGAAATATTAATATTACTTTCATATTTCATCCAAAGCAACACAAGCCTTTTTGAAATCATGAAAATCATGAAGCAAAATATATTCTATGTTGAAGTTACTGTAATTTCTAAGAAAATAACAGAGTTAATAAATTTAAGATTTGCTCATAGTTTGAATTATATTTGAACAATAATAAAAAAGAAAAAATTGCCTTGAACAATTTCAAAATTCAAATGATTGAATAAGTTTTGTTTTTCTAATGAACTCGAATAAGAACAAGTCAAACATAGTTTTGGCAGTCTGTTAAAACTCATAAAAAAGGAAATACATTTTCTTTTCTGCTGTAAATTTTAAAGCAGTATTTCCTAAATAATTTCATGCTGATTATTCTGAATTTAAGAATGACAAACTTTGTTAACTTGTTCACTTAAATTAATAAAAGCTTGATTAAAGTGAATCATTTAAAATTAATGTTTTGAGTAGATTAGGAACAAGAGTTGACAACCTTTAAATTTTGTGGAATGTGTAAAATGAAAATAAACTGAGATTTTAATATTATTAAACTAAATAATGTATGTTTTTACATATCTTGTTAGATATAAAATGTTAAACTAAAAATTAAAGCTATGTATGACAGCTTAAACCTATTTCCTATAGATAGATAGACAGACAGACAGACAGACAGACAGACAGACAGACAGACAGACAGACAGACAGACAGACAGACAGACAGACAGATAGACAGATAGATAGACAGATAGATAGATAGATAGATAGATAGATAGATAGATAGATAGATAGATAGATAGATAGATAGATAGATAGATAGATAGATAGATAGATAGATAGATAGATAAAAACTTTATTGTCTACCACTTTTATGGCAGAAATTCTTCTTTGACACACTACATTCATCATACATACATACACAAGAACCAACAATAGAACATAATAAAGGACCAATGAAGTATCTTCATATTTTAGATGTGACATAAAGTTATTATGGTCATAAATTTTTCATTCTATGTCAGCATTAGACTTTTAATCCTCAACTTTCCATGTACTTTTTCCCTACAACACTGGCTAAGAGAAAGTTTAAAGGCTTATTGAAAGCTTGTTTCTGTCATAATATGTAAAATATTTAACATCAAACACATGGTGGGCATGATGTAAATTAAAATTGAGATTATTGAGAACAGAGATAAACAATGTTTGTTTAAATTCCTTTTTCATATACAGTGCTTTGTTGTAAAGAAAGAGATGCTGCAACACTTTGTCTCTGTTTAAACATTTAATTCTAAAAGAGTAAAATATATTTGAGGAACCACTTAAAATAATGAGACCATATGTCTGTCCATCATTCCTTTATTGAGAATACCACACACCTCATCATGACAGCATGATAAGAAGGCAAACTCCTTCATTTCAAATCAAACATGAAGCTTTCAATCTGAGAAAAACAACAAGGCTCTGTTTTCCTTTTGGAAAAATGGTTCTCTGTTGCAGCAAAGTGGAGGCTGCATTCAGGATTTAGATGCGTTGCTGCCTTTGGTATGCAGTTTGATGGTATAAAGTACTTTTAAAATTACATTTTATTCTGATATTTTTGCAGATTTGTTGATGAGACTCTGTAGTGTCAAGTTCATCCTTGCTCTCTTTTCTTCACCCTGAAACAACAACCTCTCGTTAGTGACGTAAAATAATGTTTGATCAAAGTTTGACTGGTATCAGAGCTTACAGCCTTCAGGATGTTGCAGCAACAGTGGTCGCCATGCTTCCAGCTTTCTGGGTGGCATCTTTCTTTGCCTGGTGGGCCTGCAGAACAGCGACAGCTTCCTCCACCTGAAGCGGACATAAAAACACAAATTAGTGAACAAAACGAAGAAAAGTCATGGTTTCAGTGATGCAAAGTAAACTAGATTAATGGCATTTTCTGCAAAAGTGCTGTTTGACTGCTGAAGCTTGCTGAAAAAGCTGAATCAGTTTTTATAACTAAAAGAAGCAGAACAGTAGCTAAAACTAGGTGATGCGAAACACTAGCTAAATTAATCAAAAGGCTAGACTAAACTAAGTAGATAAAAGTTACTGTATATGTAGTAAAAGGTTAACTAAAAGCCAGAAACAGCTAAATGTTAGCTAAAAACTAATATGTGAAAGAATAGCTGAACAGTGTGGGACAGCAAAACAGTAACTAATAAACATAATCTAAAAGCATAAAAAGATTTGAACAAACTTAAATGTAGAAAAGCTACAGTAGCAAAATGACAGGTAAGCTAAAAACACAAAATGGTTAACCAAAAGCTAAAAACAGCAAAAGGCTAGCTAAAGGTTAAAGTAAAGAAATAATAGCAAAAAGTAGCAAATGGCTAGCTACGCAATATATATTTTTTCCTGATTGAAAAAAACATTAAAATAGGGGACATTTCCGGGTACAGCTTTAGCTGGGGACAAGTCGTCCAAAACAGGGACTGTCCCCAGAAATGGGGACACTGGTCACCCTAAGCTAAAAGTATTTGAAGGAGAGCCAGAAGCTAAAAGTAACAAGACTAACTAAAAGCCAAAGGAAAAAGGTTGGCTGAAAGCTAAAAGTAGCAGAATGATCTCTAAAAACTAAAACTAGCATAAGAAGACAGAAACAGAGCCGTAGAATGAGTTACCTTTGAACGGAGAGATTCGTGCGACTCCAGCATGTGCAGCAGCTCAGAGTTGTCGATCTCCAGCAGCATGCCGGTGATCTTCCCTGCCAGGTTGGCATGCATGGCCTGAATCAGCGGGAACAAACGTTCTCCTATTTTCAAAGGAAGGAATGATTTTAAATTAAAACATGAAAGCTATTAAAGCACATTTACTGTAGCAGCGAGTCTCACCTAACATCTGTTTCTGCTCCTGCGGGGGCGCAGCGGCCAGCATGGAGGCCGTGAGCGGCTCCTGGCCCTGAACGTGCACAGCTGGCTGAGCCTGAACAGGACGGATGAGACATTTCAGGAAAAAATATTTACCCAATTGGATGCTTTATATGACAGGATAGTAAAACAATACCTGCTGTAAGGGAATAGGTTGCACCACTTGAGGGTTGGGGTTGCGGACAGCTGTGGCGTATTTGTAAGGAGGCATGGCCCGGGGACCAGAGACGCCCATGGATGGACGAGGAGCCATTGCTTGGCTCGCAGCTGTCAGTAAAGAAAAGAAATAAAGCAGTAATTCACTAACCTGAGTCATATAGATGCTTTGCTGAAAAACAATTGTTTCAATCTTCATGTACAAACACACCTCGAGGGCCTTGCCCGCTGCCACCAGGACTCATGTGTCTCAGATTGCCACGAGGTCCAGGCTGACGGAGCTGGGAACCGGGCATTCCTTGGAAACCACCTGGAATGGGCAAAGAAAAAAAGATAATCACATCAAACCTTAACTCAGATGTTTAAATTGCACACTCACAGCCCGCATGCTCACCTTGACCTCTGCCACCTTGTTGCTGCCACCTGGGGTTGGGTCGTATTTGAGCCATCTGATTTGGTGCATAGTACGTCGTCCTATTTTGAGCCTATAGGGCACAAAACATGAAATGCATAATTTACCACAGTCAGAAAAAATGATAATCCAAACAATCACAAAATTTCACAAGGAAAAAATACATCTATGCAAAATAAGTCCAATTTATTTTCACTTGATTAACAAACATTCTCCCCTTTTAGCTTTGGTCACTATCAAATCCTGCAAGAGAGATTGATTTTTTCGTCTAAATGCACCATAAAAAGCCCATTTCCGTTCATCAGAATTTAAATTGCACACCTGCGGCACAGCTGGCATGAAGTAGCCACTGGCGGGCTGGAACTGGTTGATGATGGCGTTGGCCGGCATGGCCCGCATGCCAGCTATACGCTGCATGTACTGGTTGGTGAGGTGGGCTTTGCGCTCCTCTTTGCGCTGAGCCAGAGCCACGTACAGAGGTTTGGTGCCAACGATGCGACCGTTCATCTCGGTCACGGCCTTCGTGGCTTCTTCAGGCGAAGAGAAGCAGACGAAGCCAAAACCTTTAGAACGGCCTTCCTCTAGCATCACCTATCACCAAAACAGATGCCATGAGACTTCAAAAACATGTTTTTAGTTTGAATCCACTGATCTGGTTTCTCTCACCTTAGCACTCGTTATGGATCCAAATGGAGAAAACTCTTTACGCAATTTCTCATCGTCAATGGTGTCATCCAGGTTCTTGATGTAAAGATTAACTCCCTGACATAAAAACAATAAAACTCCAAATAAAAACAGCAGCTTTAATTATATTTAACGTAAAAACAGGTGTGTTAGGACCTGACCTGATAACGACTGATTCGTTCTTGTTTCAGCTGCTCAAACTTCCGCTTCAGCTCCGACTGACGCTCCATTTTCTTCTGAGCTCTCCCCACAAACACGGTCTTCCCGTTGAGCTCGGTGCCATTCATTTCCTCCACAGCCTTAGAATTGAAACACATTTATCAGAGAACATTTCCACAAAGAAGGTAAACCTACCCTTGAAACATGGCAGAAAATCTGAAAGACCTTGTTAGCGTCTTCGTGCTTCTCAAAGCTAACAAATCCAAACCCCCTGGATTTGCCGGTAGAGTCCATCATCACCTTTACGCTGAGAGTTTTACCTGCAACAAGTCAAAAGACAAAGATTTAAAAAGCAAAACCTAGTATTTTCTAGATTAAAGAGACATCTCGTGTAAAGTTACCATGGTTTTCAAAAAGCTCCTTCAGCCGTTCGTCGTCCATGTCGTCCCCAAAGTTCTTGATGTAGACATTTGTAAACTCTTTGGCCTTGGCACCGAGCTCAGCCTCCCGCTCTTTGCGAGATTTGAAACGACCCACGAACCTGAAAGACAAAGAGAACGAGAAGCAAAACACTTGTAAAAAGCCTTAAGGAAGGTGGAAAGGTGAACGAACCGAACAGCAAAAAGGTTTCAGGATATCGTGGCTTGATCGGGGCAAGCTCAAAGACGAGGACAACATCGTGAGACGAATCAGTTGTGGGTTCAACAATAACAAAAAACGACTATTTTAAAATGAAGCACAAGTATTGGCACAGCCTTCATAACCTTTGGTCCCAAACATGACGAGGTGGTGGATGGAGAGGAATCGAGGGACAGACTGTCCAAGTTTAAAAAAGGCAACCTGAGGAGGACCAAAGGATCTTATATACCTTGCTATGAAGACCTTCCCCCTTCTGCAGTCTAGGTTTGAATTTCTACTTTTGATCCTTTACTAAAACACACAAGCTTGGTCACGACAACAACAAGTACCAGGATGATCAGACACTCACACCTTGCGGTCATTCAGAAGCATGCCGTTCATCTTCTCTATGGCTCGGTCGGCTGCATCCTGGGTCTCAAAGTGGACAAAAGCGTAGCCTTTGGAGCCATTTTCATCACACACCACCTGGAGGAGAGGAAGGCATGCAAAGACACATGGCTTTAAATGTCCGCCAGCTCCTGAGCTTTAAACCAGAGGATAGACATGTTAGAAAAAGCACTAACCTCTGTTTTAATGGCTCAGGGAGATGATTTATACAATATTTTATTATAAAAGTACAGTCAGCTCAGCATAACAACTTCATTGCAACTGCATTGGAACTTTACATCCTTCTATGTGCACTAAAAAAGCTAATGATTCATCCCGCCCTCCTTTTGTAGCGCAAGTATGCCTCTTTCCATCATCCAGACTCTTCCATGGTTTGTGTCCTTCATGTAGGACTCATCTGAGTAGATGTTGAGGATTTTTGGAGCCGAAGGGCATCTAAGATCCTGAGGTTCCAAGAATTACCATAATTTCCAGACTATAAGCATCTGCTTTTTTCACAGGCTTTGAACACCGCAGTTTATACAATGCGACGGCTAATTTGTGGATTTTTTAAAATGTTTTTGACGGGCTAATGAGCTTCCTGCTGCCAAAATATTTAGCCACGTCACACCCGGGCACTCACATAGCTGCCCAGTACACGTCTCTCTTGGAGGGAGGGTCCTTGTGACTCAATGAGATTACTTGTATAAATAAAGGTTTTAAAAAAATGACCAATGAAATTACTGAACAGGTCACAGGAGACCAATGAAATTTGGTTTCATTCATTTGTTCTCTCCTCACTTCCCCTTCCTCTGGGAGTTTCCTCCCTTGTTGTACACAACAAAGTATTTGTAGCCACTTGAAAGAAGTGTGAATCATAAACCAAATCAAATTGTGAATTTGCTTCCAGACAAAAGTGACGTTGAGAGCAAGAATGAAAGAGAAACTGAGTCTGTATGTGATGAAGTTTTTTTGAGGCTGCTCAATTCTGATACTGAAGAAGATGACTTTAGTGGTTTTAGTGCACGGGAGGAAGATGAAGATAGTGTTCAATGTCTTTCCTGGTAGGCTACTGTATTTGTTTATTTTTTTACCCGCCGTCTTACAGGCACAGTTCAGTAAAAAAAACATTTACTGTACTAATTTGTGTATGTTACCGGTACATATTTAATTAAAAGTTTAAAAAAATCTTTCTGTGAAAATATCTCATGTCACAATGTGGACACCCGCGGCTTATACACAGGCGCGGCTTATACACAAGCGCGGCTTATACACA